ATGCATGTATATATTTCAGAAAAATATATTGTTTATATATTAAATATATTTATTTATAATATAAATTATATGAATTTAAATATAAATTATATTAATATAGACATGTAAATACATGTAAATATTTTCAAAATATATACTGTATGTATGTGTGTGTATTTATATACATAATAAATATACACAGAGCACACATATATTATGCAAACAAAAACTTTTATTTTGGATGCGATTAATCGCGATTAATCGTTTGACAGCACTAAAATATTACTAAATGATTGTTGTCTTTTGTGCTGAATTCATTTGGAATAACATGTCAGGACCAGTATAAATGAGCATCTATTAACCAACATCCTAACACTTTATAATAAGGTTCTATTAGTTAACATTAGCTAATGCATTAACTAACAATGAGCAACACATTTGTTGCCAAAAATACAACTGTTTTTGTTCATTCATTGTTAGTTCAGCTCCATTAAATAATATGAACAGATAAAACTTTTGATTTTAATAATGTATTAGTAAATGTTGAAATTAAAGGAAAAAAAAAAAAAAAAACGACTTTATTCAACAATTCGCATCACCCTAGCTCCATTTTGGAGAGTATCCACTGAACGTAGTGGTATCACACGAAGTATCCACTTGGGTGTGCTGTTTTGTGTCAGCTGTGCCACGCGGATACGCAGTTTACGTCGTTTACGCTTTGATTTGAACGAAAACAACGTATCTGCATGGCGCAGCTGACACAAAACAGCATACGCAATTTACGTTCAGTGGATACTCTCCAAAATGGCACTAGGACGAATTGTTGAATAAAGTAGTTTTTTTCTTTTCTTTTGCACTCTAAAAGTATTCTCGTAACGTTGTAAAATTTGTTTTGAAATTTTTTTTGCTTTGTTGAACCCCTGATGTTACATGGATTATTTTACCGATCTCCTTGCTACGTTTCTGGACCTTGATCGTGTAAGGACCCTTGCTGTCTATGGGAGGGTCAGAGAGCTGTCAGATTCCATCAAAAATATCTTAATTTGTGTTCTGAAGATGAACGAAGGTCTTACGGGTTTGGAACGACATGAGGGTGAGTAATTAATGACAGAATTTTCATTTTTGGGTGAAGTATCCCTTTAACTATATTCATCATTGTTAATGTTAACTAATGTAATTAAGTAATGTTATCAAATGAAACCTTAATAAATACAATTCAATAAAAATAAGCAACACCTTTATGTTAACTTTTAACCAACCTATAGATAAAATAAGGACAATTTGAAATAATAAGCAACAACAAAATATACTTAATGGTGACTGGCAGACTTTAACATGCTGCTGCATCCATACACTTATCATTTGTAGAAGAGCTTAAAATTCATCTGTTCCATTGTATTATTGTACTTACAGTATGTACTGAGAACATAATAATGGCATGTATGTCAATAGCAGCATAAAAAATATGTACTACCACAAAACATGCTGATTAACCAGAGAGAAGCTTGTGATCTACCATTACTAACATTCCTCTAAAACAGCACAGCGTGTCAGACTGGGATTAATGGACCTGCTTCAAGGCAAGCATTAGAGAAAACAGTGCGTGTTAATAAGGAAGCAAGGCAGAGCACTCATGAGATCCAGAGAAAGCCCTTATCTCCAATCAGACAGGGAGTTTTAGCATGCATGAGTAACTGCATGAGTAACATGAGTAAAGTTCACTGCAAAGAAATCAGTTTCTTAATCAGTATGTGTGCATCAGACAACACTTTGCATTTTATCAACATTTGAGAGATAAAATCATATTTTTTGTGAAGTCAGTTGAATTTTAAATGGGAAAAAAAAAAAAAAGATTTGAATCTGAACCTTAATATAAATAATAATTTTCTTTGGTTTGGTTTAGTTTACAGTAGTAAACTAAGTTTATGGTATGATACAACTAAAAATGTAAATAAATAATAATTATATTGCTTATTTAAGCCATAAACTGCAGAGGAACAAGCACCAAGAATCCATAACTTCATAAAAATTTTTTGAAAAACCAACCGTTATCAGTCTGAAAGGAAACAGTCATTTTGGAGGCAAAACAAGCCACAACACAGACCAGGATTTCACCTCAGCTCCAGCTCTGTGACGAAGAGGAAATCCTACGCTGAGAGATCCAGACTTCCTGTCATCCCACTCCCGTTCTCCCCAGTCCTTGTCATCTCTCTCTCTCTCTACACGCTGCCTTGAAGACCCCACCCACTTCTCTCTCCACCCAAACTGAAATGCACTTATCTCAGTCAGCAGACCAAGAGCAGCCAACGCCCAATCAGACACATCGGTTGCATCACCAGGGCAACGCTCTTCTCCGTCTGAAGCAAATTCTCCAAGCAACGCTGATGGATACAGGATCCATTACCTCTGTGAGGCCTTGCTGCTCCGCTGGGAGCGTGATGTGAGGAGTTGAGGAGCTGGGGTGCTTGTGTTTCTGGCTTGACATAAACAGCCTAAGGAAGCCTTCCTCTTGAAGATCTCTCATGATAGAACAATGGCCATGCTGCACCCTTCCTAACTCCTCCCCATCACTTCTGATGTGCTGCACGTGGTCGGGCAGCCATGTTTCTTTATTCCAGACTCAGCTTTATTCCGCATGTAGTGCTATCCAGGTCATAAGCCTGGGGGTTTAGCAGAGCTCTGGATTGTCTTGCCTAGTTCAGTCAACAAGCTTGTGAAGATCAGACCAGCGGAGAGACTGACTGCTGGATTTGTTCAATCAGATTAGTGCTCCATTGATTAAACCTGCTATGCTTCTCAGTTCCCACTCTTTGTGAATCACTTAACAGCAATCCCAATAACAGGAGGAGACATCAATGGCCGGAAAGTGCATTATAACAACTCCATCACTTTTTTCCCCACACAAAGTATTACAGCCTGTTTTGCAGTTTTAGGACAGAAAAGAATAGAAACAAAACTGAACTGAACCAAACAGAATGGAATACGACAGATTAGAATAGAGCAGAATATAACAGGAAAGATAATAACAGAACAGAACAGAACAGAATGGAATAGTCCAGTCCTAGAATAGAACAGAATAGAATAGTCCTAAAAACTGTGAAATTGAACAGAGTAGAATATGACAGGAATGAATAGAATATGGCAGAATAGAATAGTTCTGTCTTAAAAACGGCAAAATATAATAGAAAACAACAGAATAGAGCATGACAGGAAGGAATAAAAAATATGACAAAAGAGAATGGAATAGATCTATACCAGACAGGAAGAAACGACTGGACTAGAATAGAATAGTCCTGTCCTAAAAACTCTCAAATAAAATTATGATGTCAGGAAAGAATATAATATGACAGAATTGAATAGAAGGCAATCGATCTAGACCAGACAGGAAAGAATAGAACAGAACGGAATAGAATAGAATAGAATAGAGCAGAAAAAATTATGATAGAATTGTCCTGTTCTAAAATTGTAAAATTGAATAGAATATGACAGGAATGAATATAATATAGCAGAATAGAAAAATTCCTAAATAGTTCTAAAAATGGCAAAATAAATGGAAGAGAATATGAGTGGAAAGAACAGAATTTAACAAAATAGAATTTTAAAAAAATAGAAGGGAAGGGAATAGATCTAAACAAGACAGAAAAGAATAGAATAGTCCTGAAAATGGCAAAATCAGATTGACAGGAATTAATAGAATATAGCAAAACAGAATAGTTCTATCCTAAAAACTGCTAAATAAAATAGAGTAGAATACAATAGAGTAGAGTAGAAAATGAAAGAATAGAACTGAATAACAGAATAATGACAAGAATGAATAAAGAATAACAGGGAAAAAAAACAGAACATGACATAATAGAATAGAAGGGAATTGATCTAGACCATACAGAATAGAATAGAATAGTCCTCCTGTCCTAAATAGGGTAAAATGAAATAGAATAGAAAAATAGAATAGAAAAGAATAGATCTAGACCAGACACTAAGAATAGGCTATACTAGATTAGAATAGTCCTAAAAACTGCAAAATAGAATTATTATGACAGGGAATATTAGAATGTGGCAGAATAAAATGAATAGAATAGATATAAACCAGACAGAATAGTATTGAATAGTCCTAAAACTGCAAAATGGAATAGAATAGAACACAACACAACACAACACTGGATAGAAATTCAATTTTACTTTAGCACTGATGTTCCATGTAAATCCAATCTAAGTGAAACAGTGCAGGAAGGGGAGGTCATCTGCTGTAACTTGATTTATAATATCAAACAGACATTCAGTCTGTTTCAAAGTTTCATTATGCATCGTCACTACTCATCTTCATATATTTCAGTACTAAATAGTCTCTCAAATGCCATGGGGAATTCAAAATAAATGCACAGCAATATTTAGCTACAGGTGGACATACCAGAAGGAAATATAACATTGAGAGAGTGAAGAATCTCTGGATCAAGACATCACCATATGACTCTTTGCTCCTTACATCTTACAGCCTTTTATCTGATGATGAGAAAGTCTTTTCACTGCCACCATTAATGCTGTCAACTCAGAGTGTGATCATGAGGAAATGTTTTTGTTTTTGTCTGCAGTCATTCCTTTGATGAATATTTCAACAAATATGAATTAGAGCCGCTGGTATTAGTCAAACACTGGTAATTCCCCACTAGTAGGCTACACTTTAAAAAAATCTAATTATAAGTCTATAATAATAATAATAATAATAATAACAGTATATTTAATTTATTTAGCCTTATAATAACACACACACACACACACACACACACACAAAACAAACAAGTGTTGCTCAAAGGAGAAACTGCAGGGCTGAAGGAAGCAGTAGTTTCCTGTTGCTTTGGACAGGAAAACACTGAAGCAGCGGGGATGCGTCTTCAGTGTCAGCAATGAGACTGTTGCTGTTTTCCTTTCCTTTCGTTATTTTTTTTTTATCTTTATGTTATTTCGGGACGCTAGAAAGGCACAAGTAAAATGTAATTCGCTAATAAATCAAACAAAAACGTTTATATACGCGCGAAATGTAACTGAAACATAATTGGTTTACATGCAAACTGCGTAAATAATGTTAATTATATGACTCGAGTCATGAATAATAACGCGTAGGCTACAGGACAGTTAAAGGACAGGCCCATACAGAGCACATTCCTTATTTTAGGTCTTAAGATTTTGTCGAAGGTTATGTGGCCTAAGGACACATTTTATTTTCTAGTCGGGCATTTTAAACCAAGATTCGACATTTTCAAATAAAGCTATAATTGTCCTCTAGAGCTCGCGAGACTCTTCTGTGCATGTAGAAGGACAAGTGTCTGATGGTGCCTCTGTATACCACAATACCTCTACTGATGCTTATGATCGACTACGGAAAAGAAAATTAACAAATACATCCATCAATACACCAATAGGTACATCAAACAGCAGCAAACGATGACCGCAAATCCATACACGTCAATAACTTGACCATATTGTCCGCTCATCCTCCACTGCATCCCAGCTATGTGACGAGAAATAAACATGTCGCCTAATCGTACCTGAGACTGTAAAACAGCGGTTTATTCGGTCCTTTCCGTCCGGAGATGCAGAAATTCAAAGGTCTCTCAAACACTCACTCAAGATCATTGCGTGCATTACGCGTTCATGTGCGTGTGCCACATTGGCCGTGTCTCAAACACTAGTGAGCTGCCTACCTAGACAGCATTTTGAGCATCATAGTCGCTTTCGGCGTCAGCTGACTCGGAACGCGTTTATAATCCCAAAAATGCGCTCTGTAGCTTTTGAAACACAGCCAATGTGAAGGAAATGTGCGAAGGAAATGTGAAACATTTTTTTAATACAGTGAATGGCCAACCAATGAGAGAAAATAAGAGTAAAACAGCTGTACTCAAGATGGGACCGTCCTGTTCCTCTCACTAATGCCCTTATTCCTCCCTAGAATACAGACTCTCTTTCAGCATGTGTAGGTGAATTAAGGGGGATTGTGACCGTTTTTGAATTTCCGACATGAGCAAGGTTTCTTGCCATAAACTAAAAACATCAGCCGAACACATGATATATATTTCTGTAATACTCAAGATGTTAACTACCCATTTGAGGAGGAAACAATATTATGATGAAAGGATACGTGACGTACACTTTTCTGTAAACTGAGCCCAAAACATTTTTTTGGTAACGTTTGGGTGATTGGGATAGCACATTTTTTCATTAATTTAGGGTAGTGTAAGAATATTTACTGTATTGCACAAGTTAGTTCATACTTCAATATAATTTTCTATGCAATATTTCATTTTCTGTTCATCATTATTAAGAGCCCATGTTTATTTCTGTTCAACTTTATTTCTCACTTCATAAATCCATCCAAAATTCATACAATACAACACATGTAACTGAGGTAAAAGAAGGCTTGAAGTCCAAAAGTCATTGAAAACATTTAAAAATCAAATATTAGACAAGTAAAAAAAAAAAAAATGCTTCAGGTCCAAAAAAATAAAATAATAATTGTTGGGTGGCCCCATCACCAATTAACTGTTTGACAAAGAAGTTGCACAAAACTTTAACAGAAACATGAATATGGTTTATTACTGCAACAAAAAACATTTTTAAAAAGTTTATCTATAGGCTAATGCTTCTATTTTCAAAACGCTTCTATTTCAGAATTTTTATTTGAGCAAAAATCTAGCTAGTTCATGAATATTTCTGTGGTTGATTAGGGCTTGCATAAATAAAAAAGGTTGGAAACCACTGATTACAGAGCATATACAGTGATTCTCTACAAGGTAAATCATTTTCTTTATTAGCAGAGCCTTTAAGCACTGTCCCAAATCAACCAAAATTATGCTGTCCCATCCACTCACAATTTGAGTTGAATTACTGAAATAAATGAACTTTTCCACGACATTCTAATTTATTGAGATGCACCTGTATATATAAACATAATATGCAATTCAGTAACATAAAAAAAAAACTTCCTGTTTGATGCCTGCCCCGCCCACCTACATGATGTCACACCAATGAAGGCATCCCATTTTAATTATGTGGTCTTACACCTAGGACTCAGCAAAAAAAAGTTTTTATTTTCACTCATTAGGTGAGAAAATAAATTCTGTATAGTTGTACTGTCCCATTTGACCTTATGTCCCAATCACCCTTAATTCACCCTATGTAGAATTACTGGAATTGTTTATCCTTCCCTGGTCTTTAGACATATATTTCACATTATTCAAACTTCGCAATCACCTTTTCTGACGTTATACATTTCATGTATTAAACAGGCTACCTCTTTTAAATAAAACAAAGACTTTATTAAATTAATTTAATGTAAATTATACTTTTCTGAAATAGAAATAGTAAGGATATCTGAATAAAAAAAATAGGCTATTTGAAAAATCTATATAATTAAAACAACAACGAAAAGAAATAGCGTGACGGCTTTAATTGGACCTAATTCTCTTTAGAGGGCGCCGAAGTAATTTATTATTTAGACAGATAAATTACATTTTATAAAACATGAATGTATTTCGACATTTTACATTAATTGCACTGCACCAATAGCTCTTAATATTTAAAATAACTGCTTAGCAAGACTAAATAAGGTAACATTATTACTAAAACACTGTTACAAAAAAACTTTAGGCTTTAAAACAGCCTAACCACTAGAGGGCGCAGTGCAACCTCTTATTAGTATTCAACTAAAAGACATTTTAAATAAATATAGCATTTGATTAACGTTATTTTTTCCCACAACTTTCCCCCTCCTAACATATGACACCTCTACACAAGATAAAACATTTAACTGGACAAGAAAAAAAAATACTTTCACAAAAACCAACGAGATCTGTAACAGAGCTTAACCACTAGAGGGCACAGTCGCACTATTCGCCATTTCATTTTATATTCCATCATATAAATGCATTTTCTTTTCATTATTTTCCATTGTTTTATTTTGTCACCTTTTTCTTAAATCAATTCCGCTGCGAGCAATACCTGATCTGAACAGCAGACCGAAAACAACACAACGCATTTAAATCACATGACCTGTCGTCACGACGTGTTTGTAGCTCATCCGGGTCAAAAGGCGTCAGCATGGACACGGGGGATGTTCTTGCATCTCTGGTAGGCAATTCGTTATTTTAACTTATCAACAAACACAAGGCACTGTATGATAACGTGATAGTATTTTATTGAACCGATGCTCTCATGTAGCGAATTTTCATAACCGTTCAGAGCCCAGAGTAATACATCTAACGTTATATGTCTTAGTTAGCCTGCATGCTAACAAGCATGTTATGGGCATATGGCAAAAATAACGAAATAATTTCCTTAATCATCACTGATATTTATACTCATCCAGGTTTAAAATGCTTAGGTAGTACTATAAAAAGGGTACTTGACAGCGTTGATGAATACATGAATTCTTCGTTAGTCTCTTGAGGCAGCGTTTGTTTTTAACGACACGGGTTTTACGTATTAGATTTATTAATACACTTTAATGTTCAATTTTCCACTGAATGGAGTATTTCTGTCTTTAATAAACAGGGGGTAGAGGGAGCCACTGCGGCTGCGCATGCGCTCTCTCTTCCAGCAGAGGCGTATGGAAATGATGTGAGTTGGGATGTTTTGATATTTGCAAATGAATAAGAAAATAAGTTAAATATTTGTAAAAGTATCCCCACTTCAAAACACTAACCATATTGTATGTTTGCCATCAGGCCCAACTGGAAGTAATGTGGGCTATGAAAGCCTACAATCACGCAGAAGTTTACTATAATGTAAGTGAATGAGTGTCACAATCTGTCCTGTCAGTTGGATCCCATAAATCAGTGGTTACCAACCCTGGTCCTGGAGGCACCTCAACACTGCACGTTTTGCATGTCATGTCCAGGACCAGGGTTGGGAACCACTGGCTTAAATGTCCAGCTTCACTGACAGGCTTATTTCTCTACAGCTTATTTCCTCAGTTGATCCCAAGTTTCTAAAACTAACAAAATCAGACGAGCAGATATACACTAAATTCCGGGAAGCATTTCCTGACCTTAGTATTCAAGTTCTGGACCCAGAGCTGCTGAAGTCAGCGGATGCTAAAGAGGTGCGTGACGTCACTCTGGTGTTTAATTTTTGATTTCACTCATGATGAGTCGGTCAAGCTATCTTTACATTTTTTTCCAGAAATGGAGGCCCTTTTGTAGCCAGTTTGAAGGAGTTGTAGAAGACTTCAACTATGGTACATTATTACGTCTAGACTGTCAAAAGGACTACACGGAGGTGAACACGATATTTGGTATGTGATGCCACACGTTCACTTCTTTTAGTAGTTTACACACATCATACAAGTGCACAGGAAACAGATTAAGAACAAAAAGCCTAATTTTCCCCTCCATTTTCATTTCAGCAACCAGAATCCAGTTTTATGCCATTGAGATTGCGAGAAACAGAGAAGGAAACAACAACTTTGTCCACAATGCCAATTCAAAAACCAAACAACAGAAGAAAGATAAGAGCTAATCATAACAGCTTACTATTTGAAGTGGCCGCCTTGATGTAGAGATCTTTCTACACATAAAAGGAAACAGATTAAGAACAAAAAGCCTAATTTTCCCCTCCATTTTCATTTCAGCAACCAGAATCCAGTTTTATGCCATTGAGATTGCGAGAAACAGAGAAGGAAACAACAACTTTGTCCACAATGCCAATTCAAAAACCAAACAACAGAAGAAAGATAAGAGCTAATCATAACCGCTTACTATTTGAAGTGGCCGCCTTGATGTAGAGATCTTTCTACACATAAAGCTCAACAGTGGAGAAACATGTTAAATGTCCTACTTATTTTTTCCCCACTATGTAAATGTGTGTAAAAGAGTTGTTTTTCTCATTTGTACTCAAGTTAATAATTCAATTTTGATTTTCCTGCAATGTGTGGTACCTTTTTTTAAATAAATAACAGTACACATGTCCTACTTATTTTTTCCCCACTATGTAAATGTGTGTAAAAGAGTTGTTTTTCTCATTTGTACTCAAAAGTTAATAATTCAGTTTTGATTTTCCTGCAATGTGTGGTACCTTTTTTTAAATAAATAACAGTACATAATTCCCACTGAAAAAACTGCTTCTGTATTGTGTGATTTGATTGTATTGTAATTAGAATTGGCGTGGTTTGAAAGACAAAATTGCATTTGCTACCTATTTTTTCAATATGTTGTCAATTTGAGTGAATCAGGATTTTCAACAAAGCACAACTCTTAAGTAATAGATGGCATTGTTAAAAAAAATTAAACACCAACATGGACATGAACAATTTTTTTTGATGGCTCTCAGAACCCGCTTTTGAGGAGGATTTCGATGGGATGTGGAGGCTGAAGTTCAAAGTTCACCTTTGAGAACATCCTGATGTATCCCAATATTGACTTTTTCTTTAAATTTTGTCATTATTTAGCATTTTTGCTGAACTTTTACTGCATCAACAGGCATTACTGCTATTTCTTTAAATTTTGTCATTTAGCATTTTTGCTGAACTTTTACTGCATCAACAGGCATTACTGCTAAACTCGGATCCATCCAATAAAACATCGTTGAGCAGATTCCATTCACTACAGACTTCCACGACTTTGATTTACAGGAAATTCCAGGTTTTCTATGACCTTGGGAACCCTGCTGCTTTTAAGAATAGGAGTGTTTATTACAAAAAGGATCAAATTTGACCATGTCGACTTGAAAACCACGACTGTTTGGTCTAATGTTGCGATCACAAAACGTGCACATACTAGTACAAACCAATGATGTTTATTTTGCAGTCACAATGCTTACACTATATGTAGCAGACATCCAAACAAACAAACAAACAATTCAACCAGCTAACCTTATCACTCAATGGACCCAACACACAGTCGCCAAAAAACACATTCACATCAGGGAACCAAGAAAAGAAAGTGAACATCCATGAGTGTTGGACATGGTTAAGAGATGAGCTAGTTCTTCACAAACAGTTAGCAGCACAAGTTGCTATTATACTCCATTCGGCCTCTGTGTTTAAATCTACCATATTCTGATGCGTTTTCAGAGAAGAACGAGAAAAAAAAAAAAAAAACTGGGTTAAAGCTAGAGACAACTGTCGAAAGTGATCCTGTCACGATGATTTGAGTACCAGGCTCTTTTTTTGAAGGACACGGCTACATTCTATAGGCTCCACTACCGAAGAACGCCAGATCAACAATAAAGCCACGAGAGACTGGAAGCCTGTGAGATTAAAAATGCAGGGAAAACAGTTTGACGAAAGCTCAGAGAGCAACTTTACCACAACCAAGCCACTTTATCAAATCAAATCCACAGACGACGTGATCGAACCCTTCAGAGACAAAAGGGGAAAGGTTATGCTTGCGTTCTCCGATGAATTTCACACGAGGATGGGGTGGTTTTGGGACCGTTCCCAGGCCGGCAGTGAGCAGATCTAAGAACATTCTCGGCGACGGAGGATGTGGTGGGATTGTGACCTAAAGGTTGACGCAAGACAGACTTCATCATGCCCAAGATTTGAGGGAAAACGGTATTCCTTCTAAAAACGTTAACGCAAAAGGTTTTGTGTATTTACATAGCTCCCGATTGTGTTCCATAGAGTCAATTCGAGGGGGGAAAATTAATAAATGTACAACTTGTGATCCTATTCGACGCTTCATCCCGCCCCCTCTGTGGACAGGTGTCAATCCCAGCACTCACGCCTCAATCCCACATCGTCACCCAGATATAAACCACTCTCTCCATACAGACAAACCCACACTTCAGCACAGTTGCACTAACTTACTAGACTGTAAAAAGTTTTCAATCACACTCATTATTTGTCTTAAATTGTAATCATTATAAACATTGTTGAAAATGTTATGAAAAAAAATGTACACTTTTCTTTTCCTTATGTGTTTCTATACAAGGCAGGCAAAAGCAGAGCACTATGTATACCAGCTCATCCTAACCCTTCCTCCCACAAACATGCTCTCAAACACACTCTCACACACACACACACACACACACACAGACTCCCACTTCCCATCGTCCCTCCGAGTGGTTCGGGTGTGCCGCCCACTTTATAGAGTCCACACTGGTGCCGCCCCACACCCCAAACCCATTCCCCAGCCGTACCCCCTTCTCTCTCTTTGGACTTTGAGCCCCAAATGACAAGAGAATGGTCAAGGAGAATGACCTCTAGAAACTGGCTTTAAAATATGTATATATTTATATGTGTATATATATATTTATATATATAAAAAGGGGTGGGGGGAGGAGGTGTGAAGGGAGAGAGGTAATTGGGTATTGTTAGGGACTGGGGAGTGGGAGGTGCAGGCTTGCGCAGCGGTGGTCCCCCGGCAGCCGGGCCAGGGGAGGGTGGGAGTACAGGCTGGGACCGGGCCACGTGGGCGGGGCCTGGTGCTCTATGGAATGTCAGCTCATCATATCGTTGCTGTTTACCCCGTATGTGGAATTCTTCATGGAGTCATTGACTTCTCTTCTAAATACTGAAAGATTCTGTGTAAACCTGCGAAAACAAGAAAAAGTGAGTTCGCTAAAAATGTATACTATATATCACATATACGTGCAAATAAATATATAATACAGTCTAGTTTACTACTCTAAAACGTACAGTTAAGGAATACGAGATGGCTCGCACTAAGAAATGCCATTAAATGGGCTCAATCAATCTTTTCTAACAGAACACCCACTTCAAAAAACGTACACACAAAGTTTGTTGGAATTCCCAGGAAATCAAATTACCTGTCTCTGTTTTTGGTCAGCAAGTTTCTCTCTATGCCCTCCATGAGATTTTCAAAGCATAAGTGCATGGCTTGCTGCTTTTCTGGTGGTTGGCTGTTCACAATGCTGTTCCTCAAATCTGCAAAATACTACAAACACAATGCAAATCAGCATGTTAGAATGATTTCTGAAGGATCACGCGAGTAATGATGCTGAAAATTCAGATTTGCATCACACAAATGAATTTTAAAATGCATTCAAATAGAAAACAGTTATTTTAAATTGTAAGAGTATTTCACAAGACTACTATTCTACAGTATTTCTGATTAAAAGAAATGCAGCCTTTGTGAGCTTTTAAAAAACCAAAATCTTCTATATTCTGTCTCATACCTTCTCATTGAGTAGAATCAAGCCAAGCAGTGGTCGTGACATTGACCACTGATTCCTACAATCTTCAAAAATGATGATATTCAACACTGTGGACAGCATCTGGATAAGATTGTGAGAACTCTTGTCAGATTAAGTATCTCCAATACATTTCAAAATGTAACAGTGTTTGATAGACATACATAGGGCTGATATGGCCAAAAAAATTATCACGATGATTTTTTTATTTATTTATATCAGTCCATATCAATAATTATCATGATAAATTTCAAATCTTTATTTCTTTCAAGTTTAAAGGCAGATTTTTGCTCCTACGTGAATGATGTAGAAATCAGACCATTCATTAATGGTTTTAAACTACTCTATGGTTAAAGGCAGGGTATGTGATTTTTCAAAAACACTTTAGAAAACTGATTCGGGCCGAATAGCAAAACAAACTTGTAGCCAATCAGCAATAAGGGGCGTGTCTACTCGTGATGTGGAGGAGAGAGCTTTCAGTGCATGGGACGGACATTAGCCGAGCCGAGCGACAGAAAGATAGAGATGGCGGATAAAAAACAAAAGAGGAAAACGTCTGCGGAACGATAAGGCAAAGAAGTAGGACCCGTGTAAATATTGGATCAGCTTTCCAGCGCTGGAGAGAACACAAGGAGCGGAGGCCTGCGATCGGACGCCGAGGTTGCTTTGTTTCTTCTCAATAGGTGAGTAACACCGTGTCTACAACAGCTCTGCCTACACTGGACGCGATCAAACGACCATTGAAAAACATTTGAAATTTGTATCAGCACGTCATAAATAGAACCCGGCAGCAGTTTTCTGTCGGGATTTGTTGCGCCGCGCCGCGCCGCTCACGTCCGTAGACACGGTGTAACATTGGTTTTGCTTTGTTTCACAGAACTAATCGTTGCCTGGGTTGCGTACGTATATGTGGGGCGGAGCTATCAAAATAGGGGCAAGACCCTTTTGGGGTAGAGGCGTGTTTGTTTTGGTGATTTCAAATATAAACATTGACTACCAGAAATCCCTTACTCTGCCTTTAAAACAGTTTGTGCAGTAGACATGGTGTAACATTGGTTTTGCTTTGTTTCACAGAACTAATCGTTGCCTGGGTTGCGTACGTATATGTGGGGCAAAGCTATCAAAATAGGGGCAAGACCCTTTTGGGGTAGGGGCGTGTTTGTTTTGGTGATTTCAAATATCAACATTGGCTACCAGAAATCACTTACTCTGCCTTTAAAAAATGACACATTTCACGTTTTTTAATTCTTTACACTTTTACAGTCATTTTTCCTTAAAATAAATATATTAATAGAATAATTGATTTCTTAGTTTCTGCACTGATACGGTTTCAAATCATGAAACATGTTTGTGTTGCCTGACTTTGATCCATATCTTCAGCACATTTTGCAGTGCAGGCTGCAATATTAAAAATAGTAAA